AGGACAATAGAATATACGGTCTGTACAGTATAAAAACCATTACGCCTATGGAGAGTCCCCACTTTTCACAAAAACGTGTGTGGGTGTGTGTGTGTCTGTGTGTGAGAGTGAGTGAGAGAGTCTGTGAGAGTGTGTGTCTGTGTGTGAGAGTGTGTGAGTGTGTGTCTGTGTGTGAGAGTGAGTGAGAGTGTGTCTGTGTGAGAGTGAGTGAGAGTGTGTCTGTGTGAGAGTGAGTGAGAGTGTGTCTGTGTGAGAGTGAGTGAGAGTGTGTCTGTGTGAGAGTGAGTGAGAGTGTGTCTGTGTGAGAGTGAGTGAGAGTGTGTCTGTGTGAGAGTGAGTGAGAGTGTGTCTGTGTGAGAGTGAGTGAGAGTGTGTCTGTGTGAGAGTGAGTGAGAGTGTGTCTGTGTGAGAGTGAGTGAGAGTGTGTCTGTGTGAGAGTGAGTGAGAGTGTGTCTGTGTGAGAGTGAGTGAGAGTGTGTCTGTGTGAGAGTGAGTGAGAGTGTGTCTGTGTGAGAGTGAGTGAGAGTGTGTCTGTGTGAGAGTGAGTGAGAGTGTGTCTGTGTGAGAGTGAGTGAGAGTGTGTCTGTGTGAGAGTGAGTGAGAGTGTGTCTGTGTGAGAGTGAGTGAGAGTGTGTCTGTGTGAGAGTGAGTGAGAGTGTGTCTGTGTGAGAGTGAGTGAGAGTGTGTCTGTGTGAGAGTGAGTGAGAGTGTGTCTGTGTGAGAGTGAGTGAGAGTGTGTCTGTGTGAGAGTGAGTGAGAGTGTGTCTGTGTGAGAGTGAGTGAGAGTGTGTCTGTGTGAGAGTGAGTGAGAGTGTGTCTGTGTGAGAGTGAGTGAGAGTGTGTCTGTGTGAGAGTGAGTGAGAGTGTGTCTGTGTGAGAGTGAGTGAGAGTGTGTCTGTGTGAGAGTGAGTGAGAGTGTGTCTGTGTGAGAGTGAGTGAGAGTGTGTCTGTGTGAGAGTGAGTGAGAGTGTGTCTGTGTGAGAGTGAGTGAGAGTGTGTCTGTGTGAGAGTGAGTGAGAGTGTGTCTGTGTGAGAGTGAGTGAGAGTGTGTCTGTGTGAGAGTGAGTGAGAGTGTGTCTGTGTGAGAGTGAGTGAGAGTGTGTCTGTGTGAGAGTGAGTGAGAGTGTGTCTGTGTGAGAGTGAGTGAGAGTGTGTCTGTGTGAGAGTGAGTGAGAGTGTGTCTGTGTGAGAGTGAGTGAGAGTGTGTCTGTGTGAGAGTGAGTGAGAGTGTGTCTGTGTGAGAGTGAGTGAGAGTGTGTCTGTGTGAGAGTGAGTGAGAGTGTGTCTGTGTGAGAGTGAGTGAGAGTGTGTCTGTGTGAGAGTGAGTGAGAGTGTGTCTGTGTGAGAGTGAGTGAGAGTGTGTCTGTGTGAGAGTGAGTGAGAGTGTGTCTGTGTGAGAGTGAGTGAGAGTGTGTCTGTGTGAGAGTGAGTGAGAGTGTGTCTGTGTGAGAGTGAGTGAGAGTGTGTCTGTGTGAGAGTGAGTGAGAGTGTGTCTGTGTGAGAGTGAGTGAGAGTGTGTCTGTGTGAGAGTGAGTGAGAGTGTGTCTGTGTGAGAGTGAGTGAGAGTGTGTCTGTGTGAGAGTGAGTGAGAGTGTGTCTGTGTGAGAGTGAGTGAGAGTGTGTCTGTGTGAGAGTGAGTGAGAGTGTGTCTGTGTGAGAGTGAGTGAGAGTGTGTCTGTGTGAGAGTGAGTGAGAGTGTGTCTGTGTGAGAGTGAGTGAGAGTGTGTCTGTGTGAGAGTGAGTGAGAGTGTGTCTGTGTGAGAGTGAGTGAGAGTGTGTCTGTGTGAGAGTGAGTGAGAGTGTGTCTGTGTGAGAGTGAGTGAGAGTGTGTCTGTGTGAGAGTGAGTGAGAGTGTGTCTGTGTGAGAGTGAGTGAGAGTGTGTCTGTGTGAGAGTGAGTGAGAGTGTGTCTGTGTGAGAGTGAGTGAGAGTGTGTCTGTGTGAGAGTGAGTGAGAGTGTGTCTGTGTGAGAGTGAGTGAGAGTGTGTCTGTGTGAGAGTGAGTGAGAGTGTGTCTGTGTGAGAGTGAGTGAGAGTGTGTCTGTGTGAGAGTGAGTGAGAGTGTGTCTGTGTGAGAGTGAGTGAGAGTGTGTCTGTGTGAGAGTGAGTGAGAGTGTGTCTGTGTGAGAGTGAGTGAGAGTGTGTCTGTGTGAGAGTGAGTGAGAGTGTGTCTGTGTGAGAGTGAGTGAGAGTGTGTCTGTGTGAGAGTGAGTGAGAGTGTGTCTGTGTGAGAGTGAGTGAGAGTGTGTCTGTGTGAGAGTGAGTGAGAGTGTGTCTGTGTGAGAGTGAGTGAGAGTGTGTCTGTGTGAGAGTGAGTGAGAGTGTGTCTGTGTGTGAGTGAGTGAGAGTGTGTCTGTGTGAGAGTGAGTGTGTGTCTGTGTGAGAGTGAGTGAGTGAGAGTGTGTGTGTGAGAGTGAGTGAGTGTGTGTCTGTGTGTGTGTGAGTGAGTGTGTGTCTGTGTGAGAGAGAGTGAGTGAGTGAGAGAGTGAGTGAGAGTGAGTGAGAGTGAGAGTGAGTGAGATTGTGTGTGAGAGTTTGTGTGAGAGTGAGTGTGTGTCTGTGTTTGTGAGTGTGTGAGCGTGTGTCTGTGTGTGAGTGTGTGTCTGTGTGTGAGAGTGAATGAGAGAGTGTGTGTGTGTGTGTGTGAGTGAGTGTGTGTCTGTGTGAGAGTGAGTGCGAGTGTGTGT